CAATTAATTTATTTTACTAGTTTTTCTGTACTCCTATAACAGCGCCAGACAACACCTCCAGAGGAATGACGCCAATTTTGAATCACCCTGTATATAGCAGTAACTTGTATTAAAATTTTCGGCTGTACATTTAACGGTACTTAAGTACTTAGTAGGTAAATACATATTAATTATCTAAAACTGTTGTTATAATTTCAGGTTGTCCTGAGACAGCCTTCATCTACGCAATCACAAGTGCAGCCGTAACGCACTCGATAGCCCGTGCATGCACTGAAGGTACCATCGAAAGTTGTTACTGCCAAAAACACTACAGCTCCCCTCAACAAATCACCGATGGTAAAACTAAAGAAGTTTCAACTGCTAGACGTTTTGAGTGGGGAGGATGTTCAGACAATGTTGGGTTTGGCATTAAAGTTGGCCGTGAGTTTGTTGATACGGGAGAACGAGGAAAAAGCTTGAGGGAGAAGATGAACTTGCATAACAACGAAGCAGGGCGATGGGTAAGTCAACTATTTTATTTTTCACTTTTTAAATATCACTTTCTCTACATATATAGATATGTTTTGAAAGACTCACTTGATGCAATTATCGAAGACAAATTTCCGCAGGAAAAATGTTTCCCAACTTTTACTTGTTATGTTTGATTTGCTTTCCATGTAAGACGCTTTATTTTCTTTTTACGTTGGGCGTGTACGTGTGTACGATCGTAATTATGCTATACATGCAAAATCATTGCAAAATACCCACCGTGGACGTCGCACGGGAAAAAACTTTTATTGCCTTTCGGCTCGGTTTTATTTTCTATTAACGATTATGGGTACAAATGTTAGTACTAAATAAAAGTACGAACGTGTTCTGGGACATAGAACGATCGTTACCGATTCTGGGCTTGATGTTGATCTTCTCGACGTCAGAAGATACATTTAATCGTGATTGCCGTCCTCAATCATTATTTTTTTGATTGGCTACTATTCCATATTGGATTTATCTGAGTGAGTTCGGTTAATGTTAAGGATACGCTTTAATCTCAAGGGCAATTAAGTACTTTGTATTTTGCTTTCTGATACTTTGAATAAAAGAACTCAGAAATTTGGAACATAGAAAATATTTGCAATGATGCTGCAAATTATTTGCTTTTAACGGTGTAGCAAAAGTCCGATTCGTATGCCCATTAGCAGTTTGTCGTAAAATACATTGGAAGTTTGTAAGTGGGTAATTATTACCGCATTAATACGAAAATAAAGACCGACTATTCGCCTGAAAAGTTTATCAATCGACAAACTTCTTTGTAACCGACAATCCATATTAATCCAACTCCGGCTGAAATATTTCCAACGCATTTTTTTCATACTGCGTTTAATATTGGTGCCAAAAAGGTACACTTTCCGTGATCTCAATAATAGTGCGGACAGTTCTATACGCGTCTTTCAGTGCTGTTGAGTATCTATTTGTATCTCAAAATTTATTTTCTATTTAACAAATTTGGTTTTAAAAATGTCAACAACAGATGATTGCAGAGGAAAACAGCTTTAATATCTCAGCACCATTTGTAGCAAATGGTTTTATTTTAGTGCACACTTGCTATTGCCAGTAATACTGCTAAGTTTACAATTTTTCAAAAAATCACTAAATTAGGTAAAAATAAATGATGAAACAAGTGATTAATGACACAAAACGCAAAAGTGAGAAAAAAATCATAACACTGACTTGGAATAGGCACTGAGCGGCATATTAAAACTGATCTGAGTTTCAGTCATAATGTTTAAACCGTGCTGTTTCTATTAAAATTTAGAGCAATATCTATTCCTGAACTAATACTATTCGTTACTCAATAATGTGATCAGGCTGCGGTGATGCTTTTCAAACTGAACATATGTGCTGTTTGGTAAAATATCCGAATCGTGTCGCGGAACAATTTGTGAAGCATCTACTGACCGTATATATCTCTTCATATCAAACGTACAAGCCGATGGCCGTCAGCCAATCTTAATTTGCCGCTTAATTATTTTCTTAAGAGTTCTTACGCTAGAGAGTACTGGAGCGTAGATAGATTTACACGCACCATTTCGAGAGATCTAATTAGTAATTTATTTTTGTTATTTCCGGAGAAGGATATTCAAGTTTTTCTCAAGATATTTATGCTATTTATCTTTGGCCGTCCTGTTTATCATTGTATGGAAAGAGTGTCAAAATTAGCGTTTTTAAATGAGCTTTTTATGTAACGTTAACATTTGAATATTTGCTGGGGCAAATGAATGAGTCGAAGAATGATAGTAGGTACCCTTTGAGCAGAAAATTGTAATTTTTTCTATAAACAGTAAATGCAAACTGTATTTTTTGCTAATTTTGGTATTTTCCTTATTTGGAGGAAATCGAAAAGATCATAAATTGTTGTAGTTGAATAATTTATGTTGTTTTGTAAATACCAAAAACGTATTAATTTATTTAGGTACATAGTATTGCAATGATCATAAAGTTTTTTAAAACTCTCCGCAGAATCATAGTCCTCCCCTGTGTTGAACTCTTTGATTGCACGTCAATAGTTTGGTTGCTCCCAGCAAGTTACGAAATTATAGTGAGCAATCATGGTTGGATTAGTATCCTAAGTACGTTCCTGGCGTTTAATTGCTTGCACTGAAACGATTTCGTGCCAAAAGTGTTCTCAATATTCAGTAAATTATCCCTATTTAGGTCCGTGGATTTATCGGTCAAGAGATGGTAGCAAGAAATTAAACCCTATGTTTTTTGCGTCAAAGTTTCGACTATATTGATTTGCAAAATAAATGATTGCTGCCTGACCATTTTAGTTTTGACTCTCATACTCGCCAGCAATAGTAAATAATTGTCATCAAATTTATATTCAACATACGTTGATGGCAATAGCCGTATGTTTCAAGTGTTAACATACCCCCAACTGAGTATCTACAGGTGTCTCCGAGTGCTCCCGCTGCGAAAACACCGTGTTACGTCTGTAATGTGACAAAAAGAACATGAATTTTCTTGTGACCGCTCGTAGTTAACCATCTGCGTAGCGCGGACAAATTTGGCCTGCATTTTTTCTGAATTTCCGGAAAGTTCTGGCATAGACAACCTTGGTCATGCACCCCAAGATTTCAGATCTTCGATATAGGTAATACACAATAGGTTCAAGCACCTAATATGTGGAATAAATGGCCTCAAGCATACACCCTGCTAGCAGGAAAGCTGTCTTCGGTCATTGAAAGACCGAAGAACAGTGCGTTTTGATGACAATCCCAAGGTGGGAACATCAATGAGAAGAGAATATTGTAAAGTTTAACTTAGTGAATAGACTTTCTGATAGATGATCTAAAATTCAGCGGGTGTTTCCTTAGGTTTTCTTTTAATGTATAGCGGTGTGAATCAATGGAAAATAGACCGTTATCTTCAATCGGTCAATTTTCTGGGATTCAACAAAGATGTCTTAAAAGCACTCAAGCAGTACCCGATTATCTTAACCGGTGTTAATAAACCAAAATTAGCTGGTTGTAAGTCACCGACTATCATGGAATTAATTGGTCTTGATAAGACTTGGCGCGGTATCTCAACGCTCATTAGCCATATCGAACTCAAAGCGATCCACGGGGAATATTTTCAGGTCGCTCGTTTGAACTTGTTTCTATGCAATATAGTCCAGAAGGATTTTCGATATGCTTGTTTTAGTAATTAATTCAAATCGTTATTGGCTATAATACTTCAGATATGCGTTGCACGTTTGTAAGCAGATTTTCTAATTTGATTCGTTTGTCAACTTTAACTTATATATGAATATAAATAAAATGAAATAAGGAAACATAATTTACAAATAAAAAACAGTTTATTTCCTATCACTAATTTTCAATATATTTTTGAAGAGATTTAATTCACCCAATAAATCTGATATAAGTATTTATTTACTCTACACAAATATTTTTGTCCTATATTTGTGCATAGTTAGGCGTTCAAATTAAGTGTGCTTTAATGTTGAATATGTTTTTATTTTCATTCCGTAATACTTGAGGTGACATCGGACATAATAATCATAGAGTGGAGGGTTTATAACTTATTATATTACAAAACTGGTTTGCATAAAGTCGGTACCTACTCAAGAACCAGACGTAAAATTGACGACATGAATAACGTCCGAGTTCAAACTTCGAGGTTTGCTCGATAGATTATGCTCCTATTTATGTGAATATATTTTTTTAATTAAGTAGTACATGTTGCTGATATATAAAGTGATACTCGATATTTTATTTCCTAACCGTGAGTGTAACATCAAGCAGCATATGATGAGCTTTCGATGGATGTCCAAAAAAGAACCAAACCATCTTTCAATTGTTACACCCTCCTTTAAAAATACATTATTTTAAGCAACTTTCTATGTATTTCGGATCATGAAATACCTTATCCTTCAGATCTTTGATCGCTTAAAAGAATCAAGATCGCTTTCATTACTAGAGGTGAACAAAATGGTTATTTTTCTGGAACAGGTTACAACGTTGCAGTTTAACTTTGTTATTAGTATTAGGTTCCAAAAAATTTTTCATTGAAAATTCGCAATAATGATCATGGTAGAAATAGTGATGGTAAATAGTGACTTTATTAGAAAAATAATTAATTCTTAGTATTGGTAAACTAAAAATAATATAATCTAAAAACGACAACAAAACATAAGTAAGGTCATAAGTAACTACTTAGGGGAAAAAAATGGTAATAAAATCGATCAGCTATCTCGATTTAAAAATAACCTACAGTCACAAATCTTTTTTTATCAAAGTTACATATAAGTAGCTCCACTGTTCGTTCTGCAGACTCTATGCCCAAAGAGTGATTTTATAGCCTCGGCATTATGAACACTAAATCGGTACAAAGCTTCAACGTTATGTGTTCTTCCAGGCTTGTAATATTGTTTGGAAAGCAAATTAAGAATGAACTCAGCCTTAGCAGATGTCGTCGTTAAACTGAAGCTGTTGCTTACCACATTTGAAAATTATTAAGTAGGTACGATCTCACCCTGAGCAGCACGAACTAATTTGTATTCAATGCCAAAGTAAGAATTACCTCACAGTAAATGGTACGAGGAAGTACTTACTCAAGTTGAGCATCTGATTCTGGTTTTTGTGCCGAATCGCATCGAGTAACTGCTCCAAATCTTTGAGTGTAAATTAAATGCTTATTTAAATCGAAATACGTTTATTAACCAAACACCTTTACTGGTAATCGTGTACAACAGTCGAAAAATTTTTCGTACATATCAAGTTACACAATTAAAAACGGGCAAAATTCATTAATTTTTTTGACTTAGGACGCAATATGAACTAGAAGAATAAATGTTCCTTTGTTCATTTGGCGAAGATGTTGACTGATAAACATATTATTTTAACTTTGTGGTTAACCAATAGTATATTTACATATATAATAGTCAAGTGCAATAATCTGGATTCAGATGAACGTTGAAATAAAACATTTCGAGTGAAGCCAGTGATCAGCTCCAATGTAAAAAACGTGAAAAAATTCGTCGATTGAAGCATAGTTTCCAAGATTTTCATATTAGGCCTTAGCCACTTTATCAAAGTTTCTCAATAACGTCAACGTCCTAAACGTCTGTTTGATTTTGATTTAACCTGAAGATGTTTTTAAGGCAAATAATCGGTTGATTTGGGCTCCGCCAGACTGGAAAACTTTATGCGCATTTTACATTTTTATATATTTTATAAAGCCAACCATAATTAGGTCGCTGTGAGTATCTCTTAATAAAAAAATGATCAATTATTAATTTTAAAAATTTAAGCAAATTTTGCATCGTTTTGATGAGTGGCTATATCAATAGTTGGTTAACTGCCTTAATCTTAAAAATAATTTGATTGCTTGTGGGATGACTTTCGTAATTTTTTGCGCAACGTTTTCGTAGTTGTAGCTGTATAGTTTTTTACAGTTTTTTGCTGAAATGTAAATATGACCCTGAAAAAAATGTTTATAGACGCGTTGAAAGCTATTTATTCTGACTTCAAGGCAGAAGAAACCCAAAAACTGGTTGGATCTGATCAAATCAATAGGTACCTCACTCTTTTGGCACATGGATGCTGATGATTATCACGAAAAATTGGCAGTAGACAATTACTGATGTAAAATTTGTAACATTTAATGGCTGTGGTGCTGCCGACCTTAATAAATTGATATGCATTCGATCAAACTCGTACATGTACATGGTTTTGGTGCGACTGCAAATGCATGTTAAGATTCCGCAATCCACATCGCTTTCGATAACTGAACAAAGTGAATAAACGTCCAAACTACGAGAGCAAACCAGGTCAGAATTACTACCCAACCAAACCAAAGACTGAGAATAATAAACAGATCACTTCGACGTAGTTTAATAAGAGCCTATCCGAGCTTATGGCCCGCAGCAAATGTCACTTTATTAGTAATGGTCGCTCTGAACGAGTTAATATGCATTTTAATGCAGTGCCCGTTTTCGGACCACACACAACACACACTTACGGCTTACTTATATAGCGGATTTACGTCACATATTTGTAACATATTAATATTATTTGGTGCATGGCTAAGACAGGAAAAAGGCAGCATGAAAATTTCAAGTTAAGTTAAAAGGAGACCTTTTTGTTTCAGCACGTTCAATCGCTAATGCGACGAGAATGCAAGTGTCATGGCATGTCTGGTTCTTGTACAATGCGGACGTGTTGGATGAAGCTCACCAACTTTCGAACTGTTTCTGACGTTCTGAAAGAAAGATATGACAAACCTGCGCATATTGCAGCTCATAGTTTAGCATCCTCCAAACCTAACAAACCTCACGCCAACAGGTAACATGCATATTTAAGTAATAATTAATAAACTTAGACTGTTAATAATTGGTTCTTTTTAGTAGTTATTACTACCTACTGAACATTATTATTTCTACATTCCGTCATGTATGTTTTATTGTTTTGGTTTCAGGTTTCCAAAGGGCTCGACAGCTAATAGCATTCCTACAAAACGAGAAAATAAAAGAAAACATAAATATGGTTTCCAGCTGAAACCATACAATTCTGAGTTTAAACCTCCTGGAGATAAAGACTTGGTGTACTACGAGCTGTCTCCGGCGTTTTGCGAAAAAAATCCAGAATTCGGCATTCAAGGTAAATACATATTCAATTATATGAAGTATATTCTAACTTATATTTGTGTTGCAATATGTGAAGAAGGTTGGATTTTTTTTAAATTAATCTAGGGAGTCTCAGAAATTACTGACATATAATTAATTTTGACTAATGAACTTTTACATGATTTAATGGTGTATTAAATCAAAATGGACAGCCTCATCGGCTTCTTTGTGGGATATTTCAGTAATGTTTTACTGGGAAAATTATGAGTGTAACTAAAAGCTCATCTTATTTTACTTCATCATACAACTTTTTAGTCATCAGATAGACAATTCATTGATCAGAATTATCAGTTTGTAATTTAAGCAATACCATTGAATTAAGGGTAATTGTTCGCCAATAATAAAAAAAAAGATGGACAATACCGCAGTTAAAAAAAAACTCCTGCTTAGTCCAATATTGAACTGTCGTGGATAAAAGCTTTAAACATACGTTATATAAAGTGTTTAGTGCAAGTCACTCTGAATTCTGCAAAATTTACGCTGCTTCATTTTATATTTCTCAGCTGATATATAACAGGCAGAAGGTACCGTATCGCAGTATCCCCAGATTAAAGTTCATAAATTAAAACCCAGGTTAAAGTTGACAAATTCATTTTTTTGAAATGTAATCTGTTTTGTCTGTTGGATATCTTCTGTGAACAACTAATATGTTTTAGTATACAATTTCTGCCATTTTCTAAATTCAGTTTACCTTTTTCAGGGACCTATGGACGAAAATGTAATGGTTCTTCAGAGGGAGTTGACAATTGTTCGATACTGTGTTGTGGGCGAGGATTCATTAGCCAAGAGGTAATTGTAAATGAACGTTGCAATTGCAGATTTCACTGGTGCTGTGATGTTCAGTGCGACATGTGTAAAGTGAAAAAAAGAATAGATACATGTGTTTAAGTGAAGTGAAAAAAGCAGTGTCTATAGTTTGCTTGAGGGTTAATTTGGTTATACAGTGGATCAAATTGCATTTATGTCGACTTGATTTTCTCTAATTTAAAGAAAGCCCTTTGCTGACCAGTATTATCAAAGCCTTTGTTCAATATATGCTCCTCTTCAAAAGTAAAGTAGGATTGACATTATCGCAAACATTTAAATGTTTTAATTATTTGTCAATTTAGTGAGTTGATAAGATGATTTGGAATAATAATTTGCGACAAATGTGCTTAATTTTGGAAGATGGGTGTATATTATCAACACTGGAAATTAGAAAAGTGAAAAAGTGTAGATATACAAAGATTAAAAGTTATGTAAATATTAGAAGACTGATTTTAACAATATTTTAAACGCTTTTACGTTCGTAGCTGTATATACAGGATGGTCGGAAAATGCGTTAAGAAATTTTCCAGTAAGCATGTATAAAAATTCTAAATCTGAATATTTCTCGAGTTACAAGCTCCTCAAACTTAATTTTTT